AATATATTGTCCCATAAATTTCCATACATGGAAAAATAAACCTTTTATATGAAAATCCATTTTAATTTATATAATATCTACATGACTACCACTCGAAAACACTCTTCAATCGTGTCCTCCACTGCTGAAGAACACGTTCAAGCACAGCTGAGTTATGCTTACTAATGGCGTTGGTGATACGTTGCTTGAGATGATTTATGTTTTGTATCTTTCGATACACCATGGCCTTCAAATCCCCAAAGGTAAAAATCAAGTGGGTAAGTCTCTTGAATTTGGGAGGCCTCCACAGGACCACAACCAATCAATGTTAAAAACCATATGTATGGAACTTATAGGACACCATATATATATATATATATATAATATATATATATATATATATATATATATATATATATATATATATATATATATATATATATATATATATATATATATATATATATATATATATATATATATATATATATATATATATATATATATATATATATATATATATATATATATATATATATATATATATATATATATATATATATATATATATATATATATATATATATATATATATATATATATATATATATATATATATATCATACATACATACATATACACACACAGCTGTCCTTGACTTACGGGAGTTAGGGACCCAAATTCAGGTCAGTAAGTCGAAATGTTTAAATAATACATAGAAAATCTAAAATGGATGTCTATTTTCTTCTCAGCACCACAAAACTCTCCTTTTTAAGCTTGCAGCCATTTCAGTGAATTACAAACGAAAATTTTGTCAGTACACAGGCGCAATCACTAACGCTGGGACTTACATAATTTTGACAAAATTTTGGTTTGACTGAAAGCCGATGGGCCGATGTGTCGGGTGGTAAATGGTCGAGGAGTAGCTGTATAAATACCTTTGAATATAAATCATTGTTCTTTATACAGGATGCATTTAAAGTTGCCTTATCTACATTCATATACATTCACATCTTTATCCAACATAAAAGAGACCTTACCACAGCAGTTACCATGACAAGTACATTGTTAACATCAGAAGCTATGAATAAGTAAGACGTCAATATACAATACATACCAAGTCATCATATAGGACAAGTGTTCGTTACGCATCGTTACTCGTGTCTGGCCACCCTGAGGTCCTCCTGGGAAAGTGTCGGTTGCATCCAAAAACACCGGAGCAGTTCCCAACATCCTGGCCATTGTTGGAACATCCCTAAAATGATTCACACAACCCATGTATACTGTACTGTACTACCAATGTTGTAGATGATTGTGTAAAATAACCAAATATATTGTTGGAACATCCCAAAAATTTCTCACACAACCCATGTATACTACTAATGCTGCAGGCAATTGTGTCAGATATCTAAATATATTAAATAATTCACACAAACTGTCAGTTTAAAACTAAGGAAACAATAATTGTCTCTCTATTTCCAAACTTAATACAGTACATCAAGTTACCTGAAAGTGAAGATAGGAGAACCCTTGGTGTTATTAGGCATGAAAGGTGCACGGTTCTCTCCCCTTCGCACCACAGCTGTCACTTCCACTAGTCCTTCTATCTGACCTTCAAGTCTTGATTCAGGGTTCTTCTGCTTCCTTGGGACCCATCCTCGGTTTACTAGCACTGTCAGGCTGAAAAAAATTTGATCCTGTTTATCAGCTATGCCAATGAGCTAACCCACACATGTGTGGAATATGGCTGTAAAGTGATGATGATGATGATGATGAATTATTTCAAAAAGGCTGCCTGAATATGGTGGATAATTATGATATTTATCAGAAGTAACATGACAACCCTCAGAGACGATGTGTTCTTGGGCACTATTTATTGTGTGTTGGCAACTCAGTTGAGTGATGTTTGGTTCCTTCAATAATACATCATAACAAAGAAGTCTCACTGTCTATTGATCTGTCAAGCTAATAAATCTTACTTTTATCTTCTGTACAGACCAAAAGCCTTACTATCCTGTAATTAAAGTAATCAAGGAAGACTTACTCTCTATCAGCCAGCTTGAAGGGCGTGACAACAAGGTAGCCGCTCTGCCCAGAAGATATCAGTCCACTTCCTGCCTCGTGCACGTCCCCACCAACCTGTTTATGTTCTCAACTTGATAAAAACATCATAGCTCAATTTTTCAAATCTATATAACAAGTTCCAAAACTGGAAAATTCTGTTAATTATTCAGTTTATTTTGACAATCAAAAGTGAATTTTCAAACGTTAATTACAGGGGTATTTATTGTTTGTCCAAAACTAATTTAACAGTACTGTACAGTACTGTATTGTAAATTCTTCTGCATGTACAGTATCTTACAAAAGTATCTGCCAGGATACTGATCATACATTTGGTAACCGAACATCATATTAATTATGCCAAAATGAATACACATCGGATTACTTACCGTATATGGCGGCATATAAGTCGACCTTTGAAGCCAAATTTTTTGTGTCCAAAGTTAGGGGTCGACTTATACAATGGGTATAAAATGATGACCTCTAAAATGATGACCGTAAGTGAGAGTATTTGGTATTACAACCTTCATATTTACCTTTAAAATAATTACTCTATTTCTATTATGGATGATATAAAGTTTTTCTCAGAAGTTTTATTTAAACACCTTTTGTTAATGATGGCTGTGAGTGAACTGTGGTGGAATGAGCAGGAAGTCAACCAAGTTCAGTGTTGTTGTGATTGTTGGGTCAGTCACTAATGACGTTGTGTGTGACTTCATGTATAGAGTGGCTTGTTTGACTGTTGACCTGTTATGTTTGTGTGTTGATGGTTGACTTGGTCCTTCACAACACTTAACATCTGCTGGTATTGGGGGGTCGACTTATAAGCCGCCATATACAGTATGTTAAACTATACGGGACAAGAACGCACATATTCCAAAATCTATCATCCATGATCTCATGTTTCACACAGTGTGTGGACAGATTGTTTTCTGAGATACTGTACACACCAAAATATATCTGTGATTACCAGAAGTGGACGGGGACCAAGGAAGACCTCCTTACTGTGGTCAAAAGAGCCGGTCATCTTCACTCGCTGAAACTCCAAGTCCTCCAGTTCAGACAACCTGCAATATTATTTACTTATATGTAACTACAACAGTCACAAACTGTTCTGCTTATGGTAACAATACAAGAACTAGAATGAACACAGACTACTCATCAGCTGTGCTGTGTAGATCAGTAACAGTTTCTTCAGTAGTGAGTGTGGGCTAGCATTCTTAGAGTTAACTGAATCAACTAAAATAATAGTATACTGTAATTAGAAGAAACAGAATTAAAAAATTATTCTCCCCATATCTTATAATTGTTTGACATACCTACCTCTCCTAGGACAGTAAAAGTTGGAAAAAAATAGTCTAACACAGCCTATATCCTGCAACATATCTACTATCACTGTAAAATATTGATGATATGTTTCAAAAAATTTTACGGAAAAACTATAAGATAAGTTGATACTGTCCAGTACTGTATTACAAAACCAGCATCCCTAAGTCAGATGGGAGAGATGAGCGGCAGGACATGACAAACTGCCACTCAGATGAAAAACCTGGAAACTCACTGAAGAATTATTATGCTTGTTGGGTGAATGGTGAAGTGTTCTCATTGAAATATACCCAAAGACTTCACACTTTTACAATGTAATGAGAAAAATCTTTAACCCTTAAATGGCAGCTATCAGTGGAAATTACCGGGTAGGTGTAGGTACAGAAACTGTCATAAGAGGATGTTTCCTGTTCCTTGCATTCCATTTTTGTGTATACAAGTGGCAGAGTAGGGAATCTTTTAGCCACCAGTTAAGGCTTAATATTGGGGTTTAATTCACCATAATGACAATAAATTAATAATACTAGAACGTACTCCAAGGGTAGATCAACTGGAGGTACATTTGACTTAGCCTGTAGCTCTGCAATAAGATTCAATTTCCATTTTCTCCGCTGTAACTGCCAAGTTCCGAGGCAAAAAGTACCAATCGGAATAATCTGTAAAGATGAAAATACAGAATGAGAACGATCAATGATGTTCAGTTTGTTTGGTTTAATTCTCCTGGCACATTGAGATTGATAAGGTGAGAAGATGTAAATGGTGACAATGTGAACTGCCAAGAGTAACTCAAACATCACAAAGCATCAGTACTATGAACTCCCGGTCATGCCACAACTTTCAACTCTTTTTGAACCAGAAGTTGACAGCACTGCAGGAAACATATCACACCAATATGAACTTGGACAAAATTTCATTATCTATCATTCATTCATTCATTAAACCTCATTTACAAATAACTTTTTACATGAAAGTGTATAACTCATTATACCTCTTGTCACATGACCAAAGTCCATGAGCATTCTATATCATTGTCATCATCAATATTTTCCAGCCATTATCCACACTTGTGTGGGTTACCCAGGATTAGCTGATGGCATGGTAAATTTTAAGCACAGATATGTCGGTTCATAATTACTATTACAATACATGTACCGAACAGAAAGTAGAATATAACTCACTAACAAGAACAGGCTCGATGGTCCCACTGAGACTTTCCCTGTCCTTGTACACATCATCCGCACAGGTAATGATCTGCTCTGTCGAGGAATGAGTCTTAACTGAACTGAGCATCGTGTTGTGTGTATCTGAGCCGGTGATGTTCTACCACGTGACACTACCAAAATCCCTCGACTTATGCTCAGTCCTTGTCGTAACATGCAACTCATCTCTGAAAAAAAGGAGAAATTAGTAAATATGGTTACCTGTACATCTTCTTTTGCTAGTCACGAAAACAAGCTGATTGAAGACCAGTTATAGTTTTAAAGTGAAAAATCTTTTGTTGGTCCAGGATTTATGACATACGTGCTTCAATACTTCTGAAAAAATATAATAACACTGTGGTGCAGACAAATTCATAATTACCAAAATAACAGAACACTACTGTACCTCTGTCACAGTAAGTGAGATGTTGATGTAGCTTAACCTTACTTTTACAATGAGCAGATTCTTACATGTGGAGAAATTTTGGGCAATTTATGAGAAAACTATTACCACCAGCAGGAGTTGTTCGATTTCATTAAATTTTTCCCAATGATTTTTTTATCATTATATTAGGTATTTTAAAAGAAGCGACAACTTTGTACATAAAGAAATTAATTATTTACCATAAATAATCCTCTGAAAATCTGCCAAATCCTGTGCGTAGTCTGTTTACAATACACACGCTTGGTCCGAGCCTACCCTCATGTCCACAAAAAATTTAAATTACACTTTGACACTTCAACAAAGTTGCTTTCATTGGTACCAAATATCAAAATAATCACCGTACTCTCTGTTTAATATGGTGAGGATCCAGGGGACGGAGCCCCCCCTGCTAGGAAGTTAGGTAAGGTTAGGGAGTTTTCTTTGCTTGGTTAGGTCAGGTTCTATTAGATTCTAGAAAATGTTGCCTATTTTAAAATATTAACTATATACAGTGTTGCACGTTGATGCCGTTAATTTAACGCCATCAATGGACGGCGGCAAATTTTTGTTAACGCTAATGCCATAAATTTTTTGGACAGGTGACGTAACAGGTGACGCAGTCAACTTTCACCCGAGCGGAGCATCAAGCGTCAATTTGCTTGTCAACTTCTAAAATTATCTTGTTATAAAGACGACCGGGAAAAATTTTGCCGCGCCCGCCACCAGCGCACCTGCGCAGCTTTCTACAGATTTGAATTTTCAAGTCAGGAAAAAGGCCACCAACCAGCTGTCCAGGTTGGTGAAGAGGTCCATGCACGAGAATGAGAGCAGCAGCAGCAGTGAGGGAGACGACAAAGACCATGACGTGGAGGACGAATTGTTCCAGGCCCTGTACGAGACACCCCCAGGAATGAAAAAGACAGTGACCTTTTCAAGCGTTTCCTGGGAGAGAAACCGTCGAAAAAAAATTCGACAAGAACACCTTCCCCAACAAGGCCATGAGGGAGTTGTTCATCAAATACAACACCCCCATCCCCTCTAGTGCTGCCCTGGAGTGCATGTTCTCCATGGGCAAGGACGTCTTGAAGCCCAAGCGCAGCAGAGTGAGCGACAAGCAGAGGCGTATATTCAGGGCGTGCTAGGTGTGCTCCGCACACCCACAGAAGTCATGAAATATTGAATTAATACTTTTATTTAATGTAAATAAATATATGTGATATTTTACATGTATTAACACAGTGTTAACCTCAACTGTTGTTTCTTGGTTTTCCTGTTGGCTTGCTATTAGCTGCAGAGCCTGCAGTTAAGAGGGGCTGTCACCGCACACTTTGGGTAGTAGTACCAGAAGGGAAGGGATGGGGGTACAAAGGCGGGAAAGGACGGGGTTTATAGCTGGTGAAGTCGAGCGGCCAGCCAGTAGCACCCAGCCGGCAGCGGAGGAAGCATTGCTCGGTACTTTGTTTCCGTTTACTGTGAATGTGAAAATATATTTTTTGCTTTGATTTACATAGTATTTAAAGCTCACTGTGCAATTTAATTTAGATACTTTAACATCATGTTCACCCTTCTTACTAACGGAATTAAGACAAAGAGGCTCCTTTTATGATGACGTTATAATGCAGTTTACATCACAAAAAAGAAGAATAAAACTAATGTATAAATAAAATGGGTAAGTAAAATATATTTCTGTTTAACTTGCACTGCTAATATATGTACACTTCTACAATAATTTTCTTCTACAGCTACTCCCACACTTACGACCTACTTGACTTACGACCACCCGGACATACGACCGCCTCAGTCGTACCAAAATTTTGTCAAATTACGTATTTTCGAGTCCCAACATCAGTGATTGCACTGTGTACTGACAAAATTTTTGTTTGTAATTCACTTTAAAATGGCTGGCAAGCTTAAAAGTGAGAGTTTTGTGGCGCTGAGAAGAAAAAGAGACACCCATTTTAGATTTTCTATGTATTATTTAAGCATTTTCGACTTGCGTCCATTTCGACTTACGACCTGGATTTGGGTCCCTAACCCCGTCGTAAGTCGGGGAGCAGCTGTATTTTGCATTTCTCTATGCCGTTTATATGCGTAGTATACTGTACTACCTTTCAAAAGTATGTCATTTATTTTATACAACTTAAAGTTTAGTCTTTATCTTATTATAATGCTCAGCACACCCTGTTTCAATACCCACCATACGCCACTGGCGACAAGCATTTTGAGATGCTAGTATTCTTGTGGGGGAACAAATGACTAATTAAAATGATATAATATACAGTAAATCATAATAAATGATTAAAATTAATGAATATTTTTTTTATTTTGCATACGTTACTCCCATACACAGGAGAATACGCGTTTCGGGGCTGCATTTGTACGTCACTGAAAACTCGTTGACACTAGGTGATGACGCTAACGGCGTCAATTTATGAAATCGTTTACACCGACGCTGATGGCATAAAATTTCTTGGCCGTTTACGCTGACACTGACGGCGCCACTTTTTTCGTTGATGCGCACAACACTGACTATATATATAAGAACATGTGTGGAAAAAATTTACGAAATCGAACAACTCCTTCTGGTGGTAACAGTGTTTTCTACATTCGCAAATTATAAACCCAAGACCTTATACAAGAACTTTATCCTTTACCTACAATATTATCTGAAATATCTAGGTTTGCTGTAGTTAATCACTATAAGAAGCCAATTTGCTTTAGAGTATTATCCACTGCTCACGGTAAATGACACTTTTCTGTATTATTTTAGTTTCCGTCATCTGGGAATCTTAGGAATTTAGATTAGGTTAGATATAATTATTGGGTTCTGTGGCTAGGTTAGGTTAGGTTAGATAAAAAATAAAATAAATAAATTCACTTGTTGTCACTAAGTGATATCGAAGTTGATACAATGTTTTTCCGATGTTTTTTTATGTTATGAGCGAATTTAACCTTCATTTCTGGTGCAAATCAACAGTTTATGAAATAAACCCCTCACATCACAGAATCTTGAGATTTGCTATAAAAATTGAGGTAAAAAGTGCTCAGAACACATCAAAAACCACTTGAAAAAGTTTTGAAGGTAAATATTTGTCCATTGCCTGTCCTTAGGTTTTGGTAAAAGAATATTTTTTTAGGTCGTTTTTGGTGTGTGTTACTCAAACCTGACCATCATTTTTTGTGCAAATTAGGATTTTTGCAAAAAATGAACCTAACCTAACCTAGGTTAGGTTATACTCTACAGTAAGTGAAGAGTATAGCCTCAGGTAAACGTGGGAGGAACAGAAATATACATGTAGAAATTTGTTAGATCCTCCATTAATATTGATTTGCACAACAAATGATATGAAGTCATGTGTTTCATTTTTTCTAGAAAATGTGTCTGTAATATTGAAAAGTTACCTGCGGACAGCTAATGGACGAATATCAACCGTTTTAAATCTAACCTAACAGAGTTTTAGGTTTTATATCTAGAAGTGTAGGTAGTAAGAGTGCGGGTGTCATATTGCAACTATATCTTGCGCTAGTCAGGCTGCACTTCGATTATGCTGTTCAGTTCTGGTGCCTTTATTATAGAATGGATATCAATTCACTGGAGTCGGGGCAGCGAAGAATGGCGAAAATGATTCCAGGACTTAGAAACCTTCCCTATCAAAATAGATTAAAGAAACTAAACTTGCATTCCCCGCCCAAAACCCCAAATTCCAAAGCTTTCCCCCATTATTGTTATAGGGCAGGAGGTGGGGGGCTAATTCCAAAACGAGTGAATTCCGATAAAAACAAATGACAGATTTGAGCCAATCGCATCAAAAGCATCAGAAAAACACTTTTTTTTTATCAGATTCTAAGGTTGGGTTAATATATAAGACAAACCCGCATACGAGTTATTTGTATTAATGTTTATTTTCTTACTTTATTTTCATCTGTGAGTTCTGATATGGTAACCATTTCCTGTGCAAATGTTTTGTTTTGTAGATAATTAGCTCCCTAGGCGTGCACTAATTTGTCTTCCCGGCGGTGATGAGGCCGCGCTCTGCTGTGGCGCTTTTCCCCGGGCTCGTGACAGTTTCATTTTCAGCACGATGCGTGAAGGTTGTCGCCGGTCGTATATAGATGTAATTTGCGAATTTAGGGATAAAGACAAGAAGTCCCTTCAATTGTTCAAAGACCACGGCATTGTTCCTTTAAATAGAGACTGTCCACACTACGGGAATCCTTGTGCTTTCAGACCGGTAAGAAATTTGCTCATCATTTCCTCAACGCTGTGACTTTACGCTTCGCGCCATCATAATAAATCACTCCGCTACCTGGGCTTCATAAGCACCTATGCGGCCGTATCATATCACGCCCAGAAAATGCCTCAAATTTCACCATATCATAGTAAGTTCTTTCTGTTTAATATACCAAGGGTCCGGGGGGCAGAGCACCCGGTAAGGAAGCTAGGGGAGGTTAGGTAGATTTGTTTGGTTAGGTCTGTTTTTCATACCAAACAAAGGTTAAGTTACGTTTATATTAGAAATAACCATTTTTAACACATTTGCACAAACTACAACAATGTCCACTATAAAAAACAGTGAAAATCTGGCATTTTTATATTTGTTTTTGATCAATTTCAGCTGCGGATTAGTCCTGAATAATTACCTTTGGTTGCTGTAATCTGCAATTTTACCAAATAGTCTTAGAATTTTCAAAATTCGTTTAGTGGCAACAAGTGAAACACAGTAACACCAAAAAATACGGTCAATTTATAGTATCACACCGGTCTTTATTTGGATATTAAAAATAGATTTTCTTATGTATTTTGATGAGTTTTGAACGAATTTGATATCCATTTCCACTGGAAATCATGTGTTTTCAGATCCACCCCCCCCTCATTAAACAATCATAACGGAAAAAGTTGGATTTTTTTAGAATAAATTACATAAGTTACATTACCAACCAACCAAGAAAACCTTAATCTAACCTAACCCTCCGTCGGAGGCCTGGAGCGATGCGTGAGCAGGGGGTCAGACCACCTCCACCATAAGTAAACAAATCATGGTGACACTTGTGAATGAGCGAGAGTAGTAATCTTGAAAAATTATTATCTCGGTTATCCTTAATTTCCGGTGGAAATATTATATTAGAAAAATGTCTTAGAATTGTCAAAACATTACGAAATATATTCTTTTTAATACAGAAATAAAGACCGGTGTGATACTATAAATTCACCAAAAATACTTTGGATATCAAAATACAGAGATGACCAAAACTAAAATGATGAATTTATAGTTTTACAACGGTCTTTCTTTCGCTGTTATTAATATGTATTTGGTAATGCTTAGACAATTCTAAGACATTTTCCTTCTACGATATTTCCACCAGAAATTAAGGATAACCGAGATAATAATTTTTCAAGATTATTACTTTCGCTCATACACAAGTGTCGCCATGTCTTGTTTACAATGGGTGGAGGAGGACTGACACCAGCTCACGCATCGCTCCAGACCTCTGTGTTCGCTTCTTAAACGTCTACAGCACATGCAGGGGATGAAGTGGGAGTTTCTTATTGGCTATAGCGATAGGACTATTTTTATTGGGCAAGATTTTTTTTGTTTTAGCCAATGAACAATGAGTGGGTGGGTCGGGAGTGAAGATTTGAGTTGGAAGAGCTGTACCGACATTATGACAATGATTATTTTGCGCCAATTGCAGAGTTACACCAGAAAAATAGAAGCAATTTCTTCTTCTTTTTTAGAAAACACGGTGTATTACCAAATATAGTTAGTTCTTTGTCCAAAGTGTAATAGCCAGTGTAAACTACGTGAAGAACAGCATATTTGGTGGTGTCAATAGTTTTACAGATTAAGGTAAGATGTGGGGGCATGAAGAATGGGGAGTTAGGTTAGCTTTTGTTGGTTGGTTAGTATATGATCTGTTTGATTTATTCGAAAAAGAAAGAAAATCCAACTTTTTCCATCATGATTGTTGAGTGGGGCAGGTTATCTAAAAAACTATTGATTTCCAGCTGAAATGAATATCAAATTCGTTCAAAACTCATCAAAAACCATAGGAAAAACCTATTTTTAATATTAAAATAAAGACCGGTGTGATACTATAAATTGACCCTCAAATTTTACCACTTTTAATACACATATAAAGGGTAAATTTTCACTAATGCACCGGTCTTTGTTTGGATATTAAAAATATATTTTTCCGATGTTATTTGATGAGTTTCGAGCGAATTTGATATTCATTTCAGCTGGAAATCAATAGATTTTGAGAATACCCCTCCCCCCACCCTACCCATCAATCTTAACGAAAATGTTTTTTTTCTTGAGTAAATCACCTAAATAAAAAACAACAAAACAAAACCTAACCTAACCTAACACAATTTTTCTGATGAAATTCTGCAATTGACGTAAAATAATCTGTACCACAATGTCGGCACAGCTCTTTCCACCTGTTCAGCCATATCTGGTTATTCTGGTACAGTGGTCCCTCGGTTAACGAACACAATTCGTTCCAGAAGGTCGTTCGTTAAACGAAAATTTCATTAACCGAATCCATTGTTTCAATGGGATAATGGGTAGTAACTGGTTCCAGCTCACCAAAAAGTACATACAAAGTAAAAACAAAATGCAGTAAAGTACACTTACTTAGAGGTGTGTATGTAGAAGGTTCCTGGTTGATGATGATGATGGGAATTAGAAGTGGGGTGGAGGAGAAGGGAGAAGAGAAGGAAGTGGGGGTGGAAGAGAAATCACCCCATGCTTGATGCCGCCATTTCACCCATAAAATTTTAGGTTCGCTTGGTTTAATTGAAGATTATTTTCTTTAATTCAACACTGCACTGCACTATATATTGCCAACATGTTAAATAAATTTCAGAATGACCAATAATTTTACAGTAAAAACGTAAAAATACTCTGTGTTCAAGAGACCCACAAGCAAGATGTTTTCCCCACTGAACAGAAGCACAAACTGACACCTTGGTGGGTGAGTGAAGTGGCTGATGGGCGCACCAAAAACTAGTTCCCTGTACTGCAAATATGTTAAATAAGTGTTAAAACGACTAATAATTTTAATATAAAACTTGGAAAAATATTGAATAGTACAACCGTCTTGACATTTACTCCAATGGAAACGAATATAAGCCCTAGAACCGATTACTGTATTGACATGTTGACACGTTTTCGTAAGAATTTCGTTAACCGAATTTTTGTTCGTTAACCGAATTGAAGATTCTTATGGAAGGTAATTCGTTAACCGAGGAGTTCGTTAGCCGAGGGACCACTGTACTGAAAATCAAATTTCCGCTCCTGACGCACCCACGCATTGTTCATTGGCTAAGACAACAAACTCTTGCCCAATTATAAGTCTCCTATTGCTATAGCCAATAAGAAAAACCCACACCACTCCAGCACATTTTTTTTTGTATGGGGATTAGCCCACCCGAGCACAGGTCACTAACCCACATCGGGGCCTGGGGGGGGGGTAATAATAATAATAATAATAATAATAATAATAATAATAATAATAATAATAATAATAATAATAATAATAATAATAATTATTATTATTATTATTATTATTATTCAGAGTAAAAAAAAATTAATAAAAATCCAAATTGAAAATTAAATAATAAATTAATAATAATGATGAAGATGATGAAGATAATAATAATAACAACACTGTGATGATAATAATAATAATAATAATGACGAAATGCAAAAATGAAAAACAAAAGATAAAAAGTGAGAAACAATATATGTATGTTGTGTTGTCAATTGTAAGAGAAACAATTGAAACCCTGCAATTGTGTGTGAATCAGGCAGAAAGTCAGATCAGCAACCCGGGACTTGGTCACAATTTTCGTGGTGCCACATGGCAGCAGGGTCTACCATTAGATAACACATTATGCTTCCAATATCTTCCCAGGCGGTAGTACCTCCCTGTTTGGTAGCTGCCTTCTACCTACTCTACCTATGCGCTGTAGACACTTAAGAAGCCAACACGGAGGTAAGGAGCACTGCGTGATGGGTGGTCGGATTGTAGTGGATTCCTCCCCTACAAGCACCGAACCTTCTCGAATTCCCCAGCCTACGCCTCCAGCGCCGCCCACGGAGCGGGGTCAACTATCTACCCACGCCTACCCCTGCCTTATAAGGCCTGACACCGCTGTGACCACCCTCTCTTTCTACACAGTGCCACCAGCAAGCAACACCTCCTCCTCCGCGCCAGCCTGGCGGCTGCCGCTCCCGCCAGCGACATTGGCGTCCCTCAAGCCGCGTGCCCTCACTCTTGGCACCCTCACCACCCGGCTCTCTCTACTCAATGCTTATTACCATGCTACCTACCCAGCAACAAGCTGCATTGTACATCCAATACAATATGTGTACAGTGAGCACATTGTGAGTTTCCTTTCTCCATCCCATCCTGAGTGTGAACCAATATCTCATAACCCTACAGGACCTTCTCTGTGAGACACTAGCGTAGCTAGGGGGGGGGGGCGGTCCGCCCCGGGCGGCACTTTTGGGTCTGCTCATCACCCATATCTGCAGCTACTGGAGACGTTAATCCATCCCTTTGTATAGGCGGCAAGTTAATCCTTGTCGTGTCTGACCTAACACCTGACCCACATCATCACGGCCACGTCATGAGCTACACCCTTGCTATGCGCCCCCCCCCCGCCACACATACAACCTATAACCTGTTGAGAGAAAAAGACTTCAGCATTTTGTTGCTGTTGCTGCTATAACTATTAAAGACAGAATACAGACGTGGAAAAAAGGCCCCCTTGAACTTTTGCAGTTTATTCAAAAGTATAACCTTGGGAACTCGGTTCCAAATATAGTAATAATGCTGAGGATTTTCCTCACAATTGCTGTTAGTGTTGCTACCTGTGAGAGGAGTTTTCGAAACTAAAACTGATCAAGAATTACTTAAGATCTACTATGAGCACCTTGCGGTTGAGAAATCTTGCCATACTGTCTATAGAGCGACAATTGACAGATAAAATAGTTTTTGACAATGTCATTGAAGAATTTGCCAACAAAAAAACAAGAAAAGTTACTTTGTAGAAAGTTGTAGTTTTCATTTCAGAAATAAAGATGGTCCTAATTTTTTACACTTTTTTTACTTTTTTCCCCTATCCTATATGTCGTTTTTGCTTTTTGTTTAACTGTTACTTATAAAGTTTAAGTATGTTTGGTGTGTATTTAAAGCATACTATATTTGAGTATGTGAAAGTACAGTAATATTATAATGGTACACAAACTATTTAATATATATATATATATGAGTGAGTCACTGTGCAATATGTATTTTTTGTGGGGGCACGGGGGGGGGGGCCGGCACACACTGCTGTGAGAGGTAAACAATAACACCTGTGACTGACCAAATCTAATAGTATTGAAACATTAATATCTCGACTATCCTTAATTTCCGGCGGAAATATCACGGAAGAATTGTCTAAACATTACCAAAAACATATAAATACCAGCGAGAAAAATACCGGTGCAAGATCGAAAATTCACCATATAAAATACCGTAAAGTACACAATGTAAAATTAAATTAGTCAGTGAATGGAATACTTTACGTCATGCTGTAGCTCCTTCACCTGTTGTGTTTATTGAGAGGTTCTCGTCTCCCAGTCACTTGTTGGTTCAGGACGTCTAATACTCACCTGACGTAAGTTGGTCCCCTAGTTATGACACACCTCAACCACAACAATGAATGGACCAATCAGGAGCCGCCGACAGTCTCCGTTCTTGTAAACAATGTCTGGTATTTCTTTTATTCCATTGCCCTTACTATTTTTTTATTAAATTCATCTTAGTTTTATACTATTAAATACAATAAAATATATATGAATAATATTTCGATGTTGATATTTAATATTTTTACCATTTTATATTAAATTATACTCCATTTTAATCGGTAAATTTGTTATTAAAAGAACTATATATATTGTTTTCCTACATAAGTTTATAAAAACGTCGTTACACCACAACAAGGACCACCTCCATGCTCAGTCTCCTCCACTCGTGTTAGTCTAGTTTATTATAATGATACCCATAATTTCTGACCTGCTCGCCCAGCCAGGTGTGATGCTGGGCATGGGTTTGGGGCTGTGTATAGGGTTCTTCGCCCGGGGATCATTATTTACGGAGACAGACACAACTGATTATAATGATAGTGGTGGTGACGGCCAGGAGGACTCGGATGATGATGGCTGGGATGAGGTAATTATGACATGATTTATTTAAGGTTCTTGCCGGAGTAAAGTTATATATTACATTAACTCTATGGTATATATTTAGAAGATGCCAACACCTATTTATATAATATCGAGTTATATGAACAAATTTATATTTTTGAATATTTTAACCTGAAAAATTACGGTTAATATATAGGACTAACCCACAGACGAGTTAATTGCATTACTGTTTATTTTTTTTACCTTATTTTCATCAGTGAGTTCTGATATGGTAATCATGTTTTGTTTTGTAGATAATTAGCTCTCTAGGCGTGCACTAATTTGTCTTCCCGGCAGTAATGAGGCAGTGCTCTGCTGAGGTGCTTTTCCCTGGGCTCGTGACAGTTTCATTTTCAGCACGACACGTGAAGGTTGTCGCCGGTCGTATATAGATGTAATTTGAGAATTTAGGCATAAAGACAACAAGTCCCTTCAATTGTCCAAAGACCACGGCATTGTTCCTTTAAATAGAGACTGTCCACACTGCGGGAATCCTTGTGCTTTCAGACTGGAAAGAAATTTGTTCATCACTTCCTCAAAGCTGTGGCTCGACGTTTCCCGCCATCATAATAAATCACTCGGGCACCCGGGCTGCATAAGTGCCGATATGGCCACATGATCTCAAGTCCAGAAAAAGCCTCAAATTACACCATATCATAGTAAGTTCTTGCTGTTTAAAATACAGGGGGGCAGAGCCCCCGGTAAGGAAGTTAGGTGAGGTTAGGTAGGTCTGTTTGGCTAGGTTTGTTAGGTCAGTTTTTCATACCCACAAAGGTTAAGTTACGTTTATATTAGAAATAACAATTTTTAACACAATTACACAAACTACAACAATGTTCACTATAAAAAACCAGTGAAAATCTGGAGTTTTTAAAATCGTTTTCTATAAATTTCGGCCGGGGGTTAGTCATGAATAATTACCAAAATTACCAAGATAAATTTGCATTTTCAACCAATATGACTCGAGTTGAGCTATGTGTTTTTTCGGTGGTTTAGTCAATTTTAAGACTGGATGAGCAAAGGTCCCCGATAACTGGAAAATGGCTTATGAGAGTCCTATATTCAAGTAGGGCGATTGTCACTCCATGAATAATTATAGACCAGTGAGAAAGTCAAAAGAAATGCCATGATGAGACATCTGCTTTGAAACAACCTTGTAATGGAATGCCAACATGGTTTTTTGCCGGGAAGCTCCTGCTTAACACAATTACTCAAGGTACTAGATGTTTGGACTCAAATTCTAGAACAAGGAGGAAATATCAACAATATATACCTAGATTTTGCCAAGGCTTTCGACAGAGTACCCCACGAAAGGTTGAGAATCAAACTGGAAGGGTATGGGATTTGGGGAAGTGTCCTCGCGTGGATCATAGACTTTCTGCATGACTGCAAGCAGTATGTGGTAATAAAAAGTACGAAATCGTCATGTGTACCTGTGACTAGCGGGGTACCACAGGGCAGTGTATTGGGCCCGTTGTCAGCTTCATTAATGACACGCCAGAAGCTATACACACCTCCATACAAATGTTTGCGGACAATGCCAAGTTATTTCGGGAAATTAAGAACCAAACAGACTGTGAAGAGCTGCAGAAAGATCTCTATGAGCTTTAAGAATGGTCGAGAAAATGGCTGCTAAGATTCAATGTCACGAAGTGCAAAAGGATGCATCTGGGTCGCACCAATAGTAAGGAGACATATCACATGTCCCAACAGAACGAAGAGACTGCATTAATTGAGACCGAATGTGAAAAGGACCTGGGTGTGCATGTTGACATTGATCTTAAATTCTCGGGCCATTGTGAGAAGGTGAATCAGGCAATGAAACTAATAGGCTTTATAAGATCGTTGAGATATCTGGAATTCCATCGCTCGACACAATCTGCAAGAGTTAGGTGCTTCCCTGTCTGGTCCCCGAGGTATGTTAGAGACTGTCAATTGATTGAAAATGTCCAAAGGAGGGCCACCAGACTGGTGCCTGCTTTATGGAACCTCAGTTACCCAGAGATATTGGAGCGCCTGCAACTACCTAGCTTATACTACAGATGGGTGAGGGGCAACCTTTTCGAAATGTATAAACAACATTCGAGTGGGGGGCACTACTCGGTCGAATGTACATACCTAGAGCTGGAGGACGTAATCCCCACAAGGGGTCACAGCTCAAGGTTGAAGAAGCCACAAGTCCAGAAAACGTGTGAGAGTAAACTTTTTCGGAGTGAGAGTTGTGAACTCGTGGAACAGTCTGCCAGAGAGCGTTATGGCGGCACCGAGTGTGAGTTCATTCAAGGCCAGACTTGATCGACACTGGGGCAGGTTCCAATATATTCAGGAGCCAGTGCATGCCTAGTATCTGCCAACAGTGTGTAACAGAGATGTAACTGACCGCCCATGTGGCTAACGAGCCAATCAGTGGCGAATAGAATAAAAGTAAAGTAAAAAAGTAAAATTGTCTAAACCACCATATAAATACATTGCTCAACTTGAGAGCCATATTGGTTGAAACTGCAGTATACTGTACTACCACCAACAATATTACTTGTTCAAAGTGGGCAAGACTTTGAAGTCGAGGGAAAATGTGGGGTAAAAATCCTAAAACTGTAAAAAGTTTACCAATACCTTATTTAGGTTTTCGTTTTTTTTTTTTTTTTATGTGATGGTGTTTTTTGGTGTTTAGTGTGTAATGGTGTTGTTTTAGGTGCTCAGAGGAGGAGGGATCCATACACTCAATAGCAATTCTCGACATTTTTACAAGTTAGGGACAGTTAGGTAAGGTTTTCAGGTTTGTTTGGTGTTTTTAGTATTTTACCCCACATTTTCCCTCTACTTTAAAGCCCTGCCCATTTTGAACCACTAGTATTGTGGGTAATTTTATCGGTTAAAATAATCGAAATATATAAATTTATGACGGAAATGCTATAGAGTAAATAATTTTTAGTTTTTCTCTCTTTCTCCCTTTACTTTTTAAGACTCAATATATAAGGTGTTGGAAATTTCTAAATATTAACCCTGTTTAAAATTTCTTTGATTTTCAGCAGAATCTTTATGATGTAAAATTGGTGGTAAGAAATAAAAATATCTTCAGATTATATAAAGAAATGTTAAATACTGTACGTTCTATGGTAAACTGACAGAGGACATCACTGGATTATTTATTATTTTAACTAAAAGAAACCACTAAGTGATCTACATTCAACTTTGGCTGTTCAGTACTTGATGGTTAGTTCTTGCTTAAGTCAGACACAGACCAGTGATGTTTGTTATTTCATCGAATACCTTGAGGTCAAGGATTATTTCCCGTGTTGAAAATCAAATCAAAGTCATTTCCTTCATTCCTCCCTCACCTGATTTGAGATACTGGCCTATGGAAATTAGAAGAGTTCTCACAAATTGCATTAATCTTCTTTAGAAGCTTATGATAATACAGCACTCATACCCATCTATTGATGTGAATTACAACATGAAACTTTAAATATTTTTAAATTGTTTTATTTAAGTTATACTTGTAGTTGAAGGTGTTCTGTCACATTATAGAAATACTAATGTTTTTGTGTCTGTTTTAAGGACGGATTTCTCTCAGAGGGGTCGGGAGAACTCAAACTAGTCCTAATTGTTCGCAGTGACCTCAAAATGGGGAAAGGCAAAGTTGCAGCTCAGGTAAGTCAGGGGAAGTCTGTTTCTTGCTGGGGTTATTATTTTTGTAATAACTGTTACCGGTACAGTATCATATACAGTACAGTGCAGTTCAGTACAGTATTACCAAACCATAACTTGTATAAAGATAAAGACTGTGGATACTTATATCACCATTGTTGTGGCTCCTGACCCTATTTTCCCATAAGGTTTAAGTATTAGCATCTGCAGTTTTGACATTTACGACACTTTCCATGAATATAACTTCCTTGAATGTTGAGGTCCACTTATAACTAATAAAATGAAAAAAAAAAGAATCAAACCTGAATACTGTGAAGTGAGGAGAGACCCCAGAAAATCTATATGTGAGCAGTGGGGGTATAGAATAATAATGAATATGTACAGAAATGCGGTATTGTACGTATATACAGTATGTCTCTTCAAGTCAACAATCATATGTTTACAGTGTTCCCATGCTACTCTGAAGGCATACAAGCAAACACAGAAGAGGGATTCTAGACTGCTGAGAGCCTGGGAGATGAATGGACAACCTAAGGTAATGTTGTACTTCATAGTATGTCAGATGTATTGAGGAGAGAGTGAACAAGAGTGTGTGTGGTATGTAAGGGAGGCTGAATGTTACTGTAGAGTGCTGTGAGGGATTTGAAATTGCCGAGTTATTTTGAGATTCAGAAAATGTATTCATTAAATAAGTGCAAATACTGATTCTCTATAGGAATAGAGAACGTATAAGTTGGCAAGTTAACCCGGATCAACATCCTTAAACAAAACAAATTACAGTGTTGATAAGAAACTCGTTCTTCTTTCTTGTTTGTATTTAATGAAGTAAAATTAATACTACAGTATGGTACACAAGAAATAAAAGGAGCAGGATTTTGACATACCATTTTGTAAAGAATGTTTTCTATTGTTTTCAACAGGTTGTGTTGAAAATAGAAGATGAAGCCTCAATGCTAGATTTGGCTTCTCTGGCCAGAGATGCTGGGTTGACTGTGAGCCTCATTCAGGATGCCGGCCGCACACAGATTGCTCCTGGATCACGCACAGTTCTTGGCATTGGGCCAGGCACTGTAGAACTTGTTGACACTGTCACTGGACATCTGAAACTTTACTAAATTTTGCAAGGACACCTTTATTTATTTATAGTTTAGATTTTCTCTTAAACCTATATAAATGTGAGGGCTGTGTTCCTGTGCAGCGCTGTGTTTGATGGTGAATACTTGATCCTATTGTGTATCCCCCTCCCATATATTACTAAAACTACAATACTGTATGGCAGGTGCTACCATTGATAAATAAAATTTAGAAATGTGATACAGTGGTCCCTCGGTTAACGAGCGCCTCGGTTAATGAGATTTCGGTTAACGAGTTACCTTCCATAAGATTCTTAACTTCTGTTAACGAGCAATCCCTCGATTAACGAGTCTTACGAGCCGACCAAAACATGTTTTCGCTTGCATTTGGCGGTCCACCAACTGTATTAGTCCACCAATACAGTAATCGGTTCTAGGGCTTAAATTCCTTACCATTTTAGCAAATATCAAGAAGTTTACACTATTCAATAATTTTAAAAGTTTAATATTAAATTTTTTAGTCATTTTAACAATTATTGAACATAATTGAAGGTAATGAAACTAGTTTTATGAGCGCCATCCAGCCTCTCAACACACTATACAGGCGTCAGTCTTTGTGTCTTTTCAGTGGAGGTAACATCTTGCTTGAGACTCTTCAACTAAATGCTTTTTTTCTGTGTGCAAGCAATTTATTGGTCATTTTGAAATTTATTTTACATATTGACAAGATATAATGCAGTGCAGTGTTGACTTAAAGAAGAAAATCTTGAATTACACCAAGAGAACTAAAATTTTATGGGTGAAATGGCACCATGGGGTGACTTCTCTTCCACCCCAATGCCTTCTCTTCCACCCCAATGCCTTCTCTTCTCCCTTCTCCTCCACCCCCATTCTAATTCCCATCATCATCATCATCATCATCATCATCATCATTATCATCATCATCCAGGAGCCTTCTACATACACACCTCAAAGTAAGTGTACTTTTCTACCTTTTTTGTTGAATTTAGGCAATTTTCGGTGAACTGGAACCAATTACCCAAAAACCCATTGAAACAATGGTTTCGGTTTACAAGTTTTTCGGTTAACGAGCAGCCTTCTGGAACGGATTGTGCTCGTTAACCGAGGGACCACTGTAATGATACAGTTTACAATTTAACAGTGAAAGAAACCAGTAAACTCAGTTCATAAATACCTGTACTTAAAAGATGGTAGTAGTTGAGGTGGTGACCAGCCATGGTGTGTAGTGGGTGGATGTTTATGTGAGCTTCTTCGGTAAAAGTTTTTCTCGTTTCTTCAGCGTCTCCATAGTACACCTGACAGCTGTTATGATACACACTAGAAGCACAAATACATTACTATATAAGTTATAACATGCGGTGGATAAATCACAGTGACACAGTTCCAGCATATCATGGGATGTGGGTATACAGTACACTGATTATGGCTGGTGGAGAACTCACTACCCTCACCACATCAACAGACTAGTGAGCCAGTCTCATCGACCAAGTATTATAAGGAGTTTAATGTGCAGAGTGAAATACAAATGCATTTTATGCGGCAGTTTTAACAACAACACATTCTGTAGGATTGCATTATACAGGTTTTACTGTACCTACAAATGAAACTGCTCATTCTCATAACAGTTGTACGACACACTGCTAAGTTATCTTAAATAAATATTCTGTTTTTCCATACCTTTTTAAAATCCTTACATATATTTTCCTGTTGATGTCGGACACAGTGATACAGTGCCTGCCTCCTGACTGAAAGGCTGCTGGGCTGTACCAAGGCTTCTCTGATTCACACACTTAGGAATGATAACATAGCTTTACAGCTGAGAAAATAAAGATGGTCAAGTGCAGTAACTTCTTGTGTATATTAGTGAACAATTAGTATAAGTAAGTCCTCGCTTAACATCGAAGTTATGTTCCTGAAAACGAGACATTATACGAAACAATGTTAAGCGAATCAATTTTCCCCATAAGAAATTGATAAAATGCAGAAGTTACGTTCCTGAGCCTCCCTTTGCCCCACGAAATACATTACATATACAGAAATTCAATGGCATTTTGTAGAAAATAGTATATATATATATATATATATATATATATATATATATATATATATATATATATATATATATATATATATATATATATATATATATATATATATATATATATATATATATATATATAAAACTAAATCATTTTGTATTGTACTCACTGATGGGGGGAGGTGGTGGAGCGAGTATGGTGGGTAGTGAAGCAGAGGAGTAGGGTGGTGAGTCACTGAGACTCGGCGGGTGCCTCCTCCTGCTCTGACTGGCGTTTCTCCTCCATTTTCGTAGCAAGGGTAATGGTCTTACGTTGCCTCTTCACAGCACTAGCATCAGTAGCACATGATGGGCACTTGCCATTTCGAATGGTTAGAGTACAGTATTTATAGCAAAAACACTTAAGCACACACGAATGATGTGGAAGCCTAACAGAGACTGGCTTGACGACGCCGTGACGTTCCTCTAATTAAAGGTACTGTAGCGTGCCGAGAGAGGGTGATGCACCGTAAAAAGTAGTCCATGACAACGCAAAAACGACGTTATATTGAGTCGTCGGGACAAACGAATTGTTGGTATCTAAAGATTAGCAACGTAGTACCGAAACAACGTTAAGCGGGCCGACTTTATACGAGGTCTGACTGTCCTGTATACAGTAGTGTGTTGTATCAGGCTACCAGTACTACACCTAGGCCCACTAACACTGTATCAGGTCTGTAGAACCCAATTTTAAATAATAATAATAATAATTAACGGTTTATTGAAAAAATTATGCAGCCCGAAGGCTGAAAATATACATTGGACATAAATGACTTATTACATACATTGGTGGTTTAACAAAAGCCTTCATTAGAGAAAGGTAAAGGAACATACAGTGAACATGCAGATTAATGTAGGTGTTGAACAGCAAACTCGTAGTGTAGTAACTCCCTCCCAGATGGTGTTATGAGGGACCTCACGTGGTGTAGTAATTACCTCACAGATGGTGTTATGAGGGACCTGGCGTGGTGTAGTAATTCCCTCCAGATGGTGTTATGAGGGACCTCACGTGGGTAGTAATTACCTCACAGATGGTGTAGTAATTACTCACAGATGGTGTTATGAGGGGCCTCATGTGGTGTAGTAACTCCCTCACAGATGGTGTTATGAGGGACCTCATGTGGTGTAGTAATTACCTCACAGATGGTGTTATGAGGGACCTCACGTGGTGTAGTAATTACCTCACAGATGGTGTTATGAGGGACCTCACGTGGTGTAGTAATTACCTACAGATGGTGTTATGAGGGGCCTCACGCGTAGTAACTCCCTCACAGATGGTGTTATGAGGGCATCCGTGTGTAATTCCCTCACAGATGGTGTTATGAGGGGCCTCACGTGGTGTAGTAATTCCCTCACAGATGGTGTTATGAGGGGCCTCACGTGGTGTAGTAACTCCCTCACAGATGGTGTTATGAGGGGCATCACGTGGTGTAGTAATTCCCTCACAGATGGTGTTATGAGGGGCCTGACGTGGTGTAGTAATTCCCTCACAGATGGTGTTATGAGGGACCTCACGTGGTGTAGTAATTCCCTCACAGATGGTGTGATGAGGGACTTGACGTGGTGTAGTAATTCCCTCACATATGGTGTTATGAGGGACATGTGGTGTAGTAATTCCCTCACAGATGGTGTTATATGAGTGAGGTTTGGTCTTAGGCCTTCCTATCGTAGACGGATTAACACATCGCTGGTTGTTGTTGGGTCTCACGGGCCGTTATCACTGGGTACCTGGGACCTCACTGTGTGAAGGTTAACTTGGGTACGACTGTTACTGTGGAGTTGTTCTCACTGACTTAAGCACTGTTCACCACTGTTCACCTCTGTTTAACACTGGTTCCGTTCCTTTCCTAAATGAAATTGTAACTTCTGGCGAGAACTTGTTGATATTCCGGTGGGGAGGAGGGTTCAGGGGAGGGAGTTGGTATGGGCCAACTTAACAGTTGACCTGGCTGCTCCGAGAGGAGCGCCAGGTACGTCTTGACCCTTCGGTGGTCAAGGATGTAGTGTGTGACAATATCCTGTGCTGTCCTTTTATCAATTCACCCACCAGATGCTTGGAATAAAATTTACTAGTACAGTACACTTAAGATATGCAATTAAAACTCTTAAGTCACAATCATCATTAACCTGTGGTACACCATAGTTAGGAAGTAGAATTTCAAGCACTGTTAATTAATAGTAATGAGAAAATTGCAATAAAATCTATAATACATTGAATGGATAATACATTGAATGGCTGCTATATTCTCCTCTATTCTAAAACTACAGAGACATTAAACATACGGTTCTAACCAGAGTTTGATGAATAAGAGCCTGACAGAGGACATGGATGGCGCACATGGCACTTGAACTTTTAAACTAAAACGAATATAAAGGTTAAAGCACGTACCCTATGATCAATGAGTACAAATATGAAGGTCCACCCATTAATAAGTTAGAACAAGGTTTTTGGTTGAATGAGCTATATCTCCTACTAAATGGAGTGAGAAAGTCAGCTAGCTTGATCATAATTCAGAAAAAAATATATAGTTTTGGTACAGCTGAAAATAAGTAATAGACTTGACCGATCGCCCAAGCGGCTAACGAGCCGATCAGTGGTGAAGAGGATAAAAGTAAAGTAAAAGTAGATGTATAACTATTACAGGTTACATAGCATTATCTCATTACATCGGACAAGTTCACTGCTCTAGGTGGTAATCAATTTAATGAAAATTATTAAAAATGGCACAAACTACAGTATAATAATTATAAATAGGTCATTGCCCGACCATCTCTCATCGTTCGTCCTTGGTTCGAGTTGTGCCACCTGTTGGCCCGAGTCAGATGTGAGAAGGGTGTTATCTACACATCGTATTTTTCCTACAGTACTAACACTGGACAATAAAGTTCATAGTAATTTAAAAAACAACAACAGATAAACCGTCTTATGACTTTGGAGGTGATATGATAACAGTTGGGAAGAAAAGTTATAGGGTCTATAGCAAGCGCACCTCTTTTTCCTATTCAGACTAATAATATATCACATAGAATATATTACATTAGTATGAGATTAAATTATCCATAAAAACGACCAAATATGGTTATTTTGGTGTACCGATAACTTATCTATTTTAAGTTGGGCATTACTAAAGTTGGTGTTTGTTTACTAATGTTCGTCCGATCTTAAGATAGACACAGCTCGGGGCCACGTCACAGTAGTCGTCCCAACTTCCACCAGACACCAAGATGGTCGAGGATGATGATGTTGAGGACAAATATTCTATCGTCTCCACTTCTTCTGAAGAGGAATACATCTTCAAGGAATTCTGCCATGAAAAGTTCGCCAATTCTAAGACGACACCCGCCCTCAGCAAGAAACGCTTTGACAAGATACTCAACTACCTGAAAGAGCCAAATAAGTGTCCTGACAGTAAACTCAAATTTTATATAAAGAAGAATAACTTTTTCAAAATTAGTTTCCCCGACATCGGATTACAAGAGACAATAGGGAAGAAGGATAAGGTGAGCTTAGTACCGAATTTATTAATATATCATAATGGAAAGTTTGTAGTTTCTTGATAGTTTGAGACGAATGTATTATCATTGGCTTAACTTAAGATGGCCTTTTAGGAATGAATATATTTTTGCGTTAGTATTATAGCCTAATGGCCATTTATTACGATATTATTGCTAATTATCTTTAAATTGTGGGAACTGTGTGGTTGTGAGGGGACATAGTTGGTACATAATGCTTGGAGTAAAGTATTGTCTTATACCCGTCTTCACTAACTGTACACAGTAATTATTCCTCCCCACCTGTACTAATTACCAGTTACCATACAGATTATTATTATTATATGTAGCATCTGAAACTTAAATAACTGTACAGACTCTAAACTCAGTTTCTTTAAGTTTAGTTTCAGCTTAAGTTTATCAGTTTGTCCAACTTAAGATGGGCAAAGCTTCTTCCTGATCTTGAACCAAACCAATAATTTAAAACCAATATTTCGTTATCTAAACTTCATCTTAAGTTTAATATTATAACCTACAACTGTTGTAACTTAAAACCTATTATACCTGTATCAGGAATTTTTGGTAAATTTATGGAAAAGCACCGTTCTTTCTTTGGATATTCAAATTAGTTTTTTTCCTATGATTTTTGATGAGTTTCGAGCGAATTTGATTCATCATTCTTGGCGGAAATCACTCGGGTTTTAGATCCCCCCCCCCCCTTTACCCAACAAGGGAAGATGTTCGAAAATTTGAGTTTTTTGTTGGGTAAATCACAGAAACAGGTGATTTCCAATGAAGAACAAGGCAAAATTCGTTCAAAACTCGCCAAAAACCAGGAAAAACATATTTCTAATACAGAAAAAATGTAACCTAACTTAACATATCCCTTTTTACTGTGTAAAAAAAAAAAACCCTAACCTAACCACCCCACATCTTACCTTAATTTGAAGAAGAATCAGGTTCATCGAGGTCGTCACTGTTTGAATCGATTTGAACGTTGTTCGGTATTGCACCGTGTTTTCTAAAATATGAAATGCCCTCACTATTTTTCTTTTGAAACTTGGCAATTGACGTAAAATAATCTCTATCAACGTCGGCACAGCTCTTCAACCTGTTCAGCCATATCTGGTACTGAAAATTCTAATCTCTGCTCCTGACACACCCAAACATTGTTCATTGGCTAAGACAGAAAACTCGTGTCCAATAATAAGTCTCCTCTCGCTATAGCCAATAAGGAACTCCCACACCACCCCCCCCTGCACATGCGCAGTAGACGCTTAAGAAGCGAACACGGAGGTAAAGAGCACTGGCTGAGGGGGGTCAGAGCTTCTCCGTGAGACGTAAACAACAAATAGCGAAACTTGTGACAGACTTACTGTATATCAATAGGTATAATTCTAATGTCAAACGTACATTCACTCTGAAAAGTCATGTTCAAGGCCAACAGATGGCGATTGTAGATATGATCTGTTTTGCGGGTGTATGTCACTTCTAAGTAATTACTAGTAAGGTTATTGGATTATTGACAGTGAATTAGCAATGTATTAATTGGTGCAGTAGGTGTAAGTTATTTGAGATTAACCACTTGATACTATACAGTATATAGTAGGATCTGAAATTTAGCGAGTTTTAGATTCGCGATTCATTTGTTTCGCATCACTTCAAATTTCCAGCCTCTCAAGAATAGTGATTTTCATTACCAGTTTCGCGAGTCATTGTTGAGTGAACAGCGCGCATTGTCATGGTCTTTTGTTATCCGTCGACCCACCGTGTGTTTTTCGTTTACGGCGTAACGGCAGTTAGTTTGAATGAACGAGCGGTGCAGTGACCCCGAATTATATAACCCATTATGTTTTGCGAGATTCTTGTTTAACTATAAACGATTCTTGTGTACCTACATTAGCGATTCTTGTGTATTAACAATAAGTGAAGTGCATAATGTAAATGTCGGGATCAGTTCTGGTGGTAATGATGGCCGTAGAGAAGGTCAACAAGGAAAGCCCCAAGCCAAGTGTGACTACCGTAAGGGGGTCAAGAAGAGGAAATACATACACCCTTGAAATGAAACGACAGATGCTTGAAATGATCAAAAGTGGTGCTCTTACCTGTGAAATCATGCATAGGTTCAACTGCCCCGAATCAACCATACGCTCCCTTAAGAAGAACAAGGAAGTCTTAAATGCTTCTGTGAATGTATTCTCAAGATTTTCTAGTAGCAGGACATTCTCTGATGCTTCACAACGAAACCTACTGTTAGTTATCACAGAACATTACCTTCACAAGTGGGTGGAAAGAAGAAACCGTGAGCAAGGCGACCTGTCTGGGCCACAGATAAGGCATCAGGCACGTGTTTATTATGCTGCAGTTGCACAGAAGAAAGGTGTTAACTCTCCACCACTATTCAATGCTTCTGTTGGTTGGTTGGCTGCCTTTAAGTAGCGTTATGAAGTCAAGTTTGCCCACTACCATGGGGAGAGTGCATCGGCTGATGTAATAGCAGCAGAAAAATATCCACCTGTCTTTCAAGCTCTTGTGAAAGAGGGTGGTTATTGCCGAGACCAGATCTTCAATTGTGACAAAACTGGCATTTTCTGGAAGCACTCACCTCAGTCCACTTTCATTGCCAAGGATGAAAAACAGGCAAGGGGTGTAAAAACTTCAAAGGACAGGATTACAGTTTTATTCACAGCTAATGCAAGTGGAGATTTCTTGATGAAACCCCTGGTTGTTAACTGTGCTGCCCATCCTCGAGCCTACTTTCATGCCAATATGTCGCAGCTCAATGTTTATTGGACGTCTAATAAGAAAGCTTGGGTTACAACATCTTTATGCACCTATTGGTTTGACAAGCACTTTGTTCCTGATGCCCAACAGTACTGCCGGAGGAAGAACATTGACTTCAAAGTGATCATGGACACTCTTAAGTTTATAATTGGACGCCGCCCTAATGTACAAGTTATCATCCGTCCTCCTAACACCATATCGCTTCTGCAGCCACTTGATCATGAATTCATCAGTAATGTTAAACTGTTCTACCATCAGTCACTATAAAAACTTTCGTCAGCAGACAGACTCATTTGAGTTACAACAAATCGAGGCAGAACTCTCTTGACAGTAACCAGGCTCTACCAGCTAACCAGGAGGAGGAGCAGGAGATGGTAGATGACTTGACTCTTAGCACCTCACCACCCTGCAACCGTGAAGTGTTATCAGTTTGTGAATTTTGGAAGAAATATAATATTAAAAATGCAGTGGACAGAATTATTGAGCATGGCGTAAGATTAATGTTGCAACGGTGCTACACGCATGGAAGCCTTTGTTCGCTAACTCTGAGATAAGTGGGGCAGAGCCGACCGCAGCAAGCAGGGAGAGGCAGTCCGTGACGGCGACACTAATGGACTCAGTGGAGGCAGCGCACTCAGTACCAACACTGGGATTTTCAGATGTTCAGGTTGAAAATTTGAAAGAAATCGTTGATCAACATCAGCAGCAACCGACAATTGAAGAATTGTTGGAGGATGATGAAGAACAAGAAGAACAGCAACCAACACAAGAGGATGACTTTAACCCTGGTGAACCTACAACAAGCCAGCTGACTGAGTTGTTCACAAACATCGCACGGCTCGGTGAACAACTAGAAGAATACGATACCAGGTTTCATCCTCTGAACCTTATGTGCTCTGCCCTTGATAAGGGTATGGAGGAATATAAGGCCTTGTACATGTCCCGTGTTAATGCTCGTCAGCAGGCCCTTATTACTCGGTACCTGTGCAAGGCCCAGCCTGTTAATGCCTTGGCAAACATCGCTTTAGGAGATGATGATGATGACACCGAGGATGATATTGAAGTGTTGGGTGACTTACTGGTGGAAGAGCTGCCTCAAGACTTTGGTGGATTTGATGCTGAGGTTAGAGGAGGTGTAGAGGAGGGAGCAGGGAGGAAGCAGTAACCAGCCCTCCCTGCCTCAAAACCCATCAACCAGCCCCGTCAAGCATTTCACTGATTCCATTGAGGGAAGTTATTCTACAGCATGAGTGTATATTAACATTGTTATCAACAATATGTAATGTCATTTTCTCGGTGGGTTGTAGGTCATTATAGGGGGGTTTGGGTGACACCGCGGAACTGATTAGGCTTATTTATATGTATTTCAATGTCATTCGTTTCGCGATTTTAACTTTTGCGACTCTAAAACCAGTAGCAATTAGTCGCAAAACATGAGATCCTACTGTACAGTATTGGCATGACTTTTTTTACCTCATGCCAAAAACCGAAGCGTGACTATTACCTGCACATGCACTGGAATGGCTTCCCTCATCCGTGTGTCTCTCATGAATATTAATGGTCTACCCAATTTCACCAACACTTCTACCTGAACTGCTGACATGCACGTAAAATTATGGAATTGTCAAGCATCTTTTATATAATTCTTTCACAAGCACTCAATTCAACTCATCGTTCCACCCACTGCATTGCCCAACACTTTCATTTCTGTTTTTGTTATCTTTTCTTTTCCAGCATCAACGCAACTATACCTGCTGCAGCAAACTTCCTGTCTAGCGTGAAGCTCTAGTTCGGGTGGGCACACCACTGAGAGTACTCTCCAAGAGTTACTGTCAGAAAAACTCTCGAAAGCTGAAACTAGCAAAAATTTTCTCTCATGTGGACACACACAGGCGAGAAGTATCGAAAATAACTATAGCGAGTCCACTCTCAAGTGGACTCGTCCCTTAACATTAGAAATGTCCAAAGGAGGGCCACGAGACTGGTGCTTGCCCTATGGCACCTCATTTATCCAGAGATTAGAATGCCAATCTTATTTTATAGAATGGGCAAGGGATGAGTTAATTGAAGTTTATAAATATCTCAGAGGTCACTAAAGTACTCAGTCGAGTATCCATACCCAGAGCTGGTGGATGCATGCCCCACGAGGGGGTCACAGCTCAAGGTTGAAGAAGCCACAAGTTCGGAAAATTGTCATGGCAAAGTTTTTCGGAGAGAATTGTAAA